TATATATAATATATATATATATATTTCCTGATTTTGTTTGCTAAATATGTGAACATGTAAATTCTACTTATTTTCATCATGAGTTAAATCATTTCTGATATAATGCATTGTATGATTTTTTTTCTCAATAAAATTGCAATTTCTCTCCATGTGGTTGTGTGAAAAACATGCAAGACATTTTGCTTTAACTAAATAAGCTAGTGCCATCTTCTAAACTACGAGTAGATGGTCACAGCCCAAGCATATTCAAGTTTTTACTCGTCAAAATATAATTACAGATGTCTCGAATTAGAGTTTGGACTAGGCAAAATGACGTTGCAGATATCAGTAATGAATATCTAGTATGCCTAATAAATGTTAAAAGGGCTTCTCAGAGGTGTGTTCAACACCAGCGTGCCTACAGAGTACCGTGGTCGTGTCACGTGGTTCGCGTCATGGTCGTCATGACGGTTCACTCTCGTAAATTGACGTAACTGTCGTGTAGTTTATCTCTGTGCCATGATAGCAGCGGGACCTTTACAATGTTGAGCTCCGGTTTACTTACTGTCGAGAAACTCAGGGTATGGATTTATGTTTGAGCTAGTTGGTTAGCAACATAACATTGAACGTAAGCTAACGTTGCCGTTACTTGTCAATGGAGCTGGTTTCACGTCTCCAGATGTAGTCTGGACTAGTTCATGTTATCCTTCGTCCTGCAAACATCAGTAGAAAGGTGGTTTTCCGCGTTAATACGATAATAAGAATAATATAAATGCACCGTTAGTGCCTTGTTTTTGTAGATCTATAGTCACGAGGCATATGGTAATTTAATGCCAAAGTCAACAGTTTGTTTGATCATGTTTTGAACGCCACGATGCTGAAAAAGGTACAGTCACCCAAAGACATCTCTGAAAGAAAGTCCTGTGGGGATCTTTAAACCCTGAATCCTGAACGTCTTGCGTTAGGTTGAACAAATGTATTGACCTAGTTCCAACAACTGACCAAAGTTCATGAAACGGACTCATTAGCACTACCGAAGTGACTGTGGACAAAAGCTGTGAAAACTGAAGTGACTGATTTCTGCTTACAGCTCGGGTCAGGTGTATGTGGAGTTTGATGATGGGTTTCTGGCAGCCGCTGACCAACCTTCGGGATTATGTATCCCAGAATCCTCCAGGAGTTACATTTTTCCTGTGTCTGTTGACTCTGTCTATATCCTTTATCTGCCTCAGCTCTTACAGCTACACACACACTCTGCCTAACCCTGACACAGCAACGGTAAGGACGCTTATTCAATGTTCTCTCGGTCCTTATTGGAGTACAAGTTCTTGTGTGCAAATAAAACATAATGACATGTGACTGCATGTGTCCTGAGCTGACACTGATGTGCAAATCATACGTGTTATTCCTCTTCTAGGACTGGAACCATCTCCTGTCCTCATTGTCTCAGTTCCAGCTGTGTGTGAAAGCCAACGCAAGTTCATCTGAGCGTGTGTTGCCAGTCCCCCCTGCTCTGATGGATAGAGACACTTCAGTTAACACTACAAAGACTCCCTCTCTCACCACTCTGCGTGTCAAGGTTCCTCTGACTGTGACTACTAGCTCAAACGGTGGCTCTCTGAAAGACCTTGCTTTACACACTGCCTTGAGAGCCAGTCAACTACATCTTGGAGGTTGGTATTGGGGTGCATTGGTTTGGTTGTAAAATGAAGTATGGTGTTTGTATAATCCTGGATCAATTGTTTTACTCCCCAGGCAAGGAGATTGTTAATGTGACTCTTGAGTTTTTGTCTGGAAATGATACCTACACTTGTCTCACCATAAGTGCTCCAGCGCACCTCCTGCCCATGAGTCTGTAAGTTTGTTCAAAGTATTAAGTGTGTTTCTAAGATTCCATAATTTAAATCACCAACTACTGAGCTACATAAACACATCTGTCAACTCATGAATCGGTATATTTTTTGTGTGTGTTTTTATGCATGTACTGTTTACCTAAATGAAGACTTCCGCCAGAGTGCCCTGTATTTGAGAAAAACCTTTCACCCATCCATGTGGAAGCGGGCAACCAGCGGCCTACAGCATCACAAACCTGCTACAGTCTGCACTCAATCAATGACCCTACTCTCACTGTCATGTTAACACAGGTACAGCACGTCACACATGCACAACATAACTGGCTCAGCCGTAATACCAGCTTGTCATCGTGTCTGTCATCCTCTGCTTTCATTCTTTAGGACGAGCAGAGCGTTGCAGTGCGACATCTGTTGGAATTCAGTGTGTGTCTCCTCGCAGTTTGCTTGATACTCTGTGTAGCTGCTAGTTCGACACATTCACTAATACGCCGCTACCACTGGAGTGGAATGGATCCGCAAAATAAAGTAATTTCTTTTTATCTCTGACTATGGTAAAGATTAGGCATTTTGATTGAACATCTAGATATATTGGCAGCATCTAGATATCTAAGTCTCTGCATATTTCTGCAAATACTGTTTTAACCTAAACTTAATGTTTTATATTATTTACAGGAGCCCTTGATTGATACCTGAACATTTTTCATCCGCTGCGTCCTAAAGAAATCAGTTGGTGGTGGAGAGATAAGGGCGATTTGTTTCATTTCTTTTAATGGGGCACCCCACCCATTTTACATAAAAAACAGTTTACACGTCATCAGGAGTAAGTACTACTCAGCCTAATGTCTTCTGTAGCTCTGGAGGCAGCTTGTTAAAGCCTGAGAAATGAACCCTGGGAATGTCATGAGCGTTATCTCTGCCTGGGTTTGAAGACTAGATATTTATGTAGCATTCAGCGAAGTGAAAATATTTCAGCTTCTGCTAAATCAATTCTGAACATTTCTAATACGTCTCACAAGTTTCTCAACTTTATGAAAGTGCAATACTTAATCAGTGGTGCATCCCTGTTATATTGGAATATTATACAACATTCAAGTGAGAAACATGGTTGTGATAGAGGAGTTATATAGTATATTAAGTAAATTGGCAATACAGGCCATTTGTATTGTTAATAAGAACCAGTGTTATGAACTGACATGTCATCTAGACTCTGTGAGTAACTCGGTCTGTCCAGGAGCTCAGAAACAGATAACTGGTCAAGAAGGTATCCTGTTTTCAAACATAATTTTCACAGCTTTATCAGAGCGAAACATTAATAGTAAAAATATATATAACGGGTTACGAATCTGACCGGGAAGGTAAGGACCTTTACATTGAGTGTTTTTTTTACAAGTACCCAACACCTGTTTCATTTGTTGTTCTGCCAAATGAAGGAAAGCTATTAATGTAACCCTTTAGGCTTGATCGATGCACACACAGTATTGGTTATTATACACTTTTGCAGGGACTCATCTAAATTACAATGAAGTCAAAAACCTCACAAACTTGGCTACTTTTCTGAATGTCCCCTCTTGGGATCAATAAAGGTTTATGTTTTGTGGAGCTCAGGAGCAGCAATGGAATAGGGAGGAAATCTGAATTTTAATTTATGGTTTTAATGTTTCATTACTGTTTAGCATTTTTATTGAGGGATTGTTATTTTTATTTTATTTTATTCCGGAAGGTATTGGTTTCTTTTTAATGCAGTATGAATATCAACCAGCTGAGACTTACTGTGCTTTACATCTGTTAACATGTGCCAGCTTCATCTTTGTCAAAACGTCCTTATTGTGTAGAAATACACAACGGAGTCAACCCACTGCCAAATGTGTCTGTATTGTCAATTTTGATCAGTTGTCAAACACACAATAAACAAAATGTTCTGCTGTAAATCAGTGTTTTACGTATTTAAATGCATGTACAAATTCACTCCGTTATGCCACTGATTAGAAGAGCCAGAGACAGATATGTACCGGTATGTGCAGATGCCTACGTAACGAGGTGTCTCCTCCAATCATCGTAACGAATCTCTACAGGAGCCTTTCCCATTGGTTGATTATAGGAAAATAGAGGCGGGATTTCTGCAGACTAGAGGGAAACCAAGTAACCAACGTCGAAGTGGTCGGATTCTTCGAGGCCTGGCGGATTGTTTTATGTTAGGGAAAAGGAAACGTAACGATGCAAAGTATGTATTCTTCCTTGGACGGAGTATTACACTAGCGCGAAGCCACTACAGAGTCTCCGGCATGTCAAACGGTCTGCAAAGTCGGTGAAAACGACTCGATAGGGGGGCTAACGTCAGCTAGTACATGCATCCACAGTGTGAAGCTAGCTAGCTAGCTACCGTTAGCTAATAAACACTTTAGAACAGGCAAATGTCCGCTAGCTAACGTAACGTATGGTAGCCGAACATTAACCGTTGGTATCAGTTGCTGCATAACGTCTGGAATTGTTAGATCATATCATATCAAACATGATTAGGCCTAGACCAATAACTGCCTTCTGCATAAATGCATATACGTGAACGTCTTCATTGGTAATACTGTGACCTAATTGTATTCCCAATCAGGCCTCCCACGTGGTAACCTTCATACTTAGTAAGGTGTGGGTGTTAACGTGTCCCCTTTCACTTGATGTAAACAAACCGTCCACATCAACTGCTGTCACATCGTGTCTATGGTGTCAATTAATGGAGTAAGGCACCTTGTAGGTAACGTTGAATATACAAGATCTGTGATTCTTTTCCTTTTCAGGATGAAAATTCTCGACTAGAGCTTGGTTGGAAAGGAAAAAGGCCATCATAAGAGTAGGAACGGAACTGGAAATAACTGTGTGACCATGGCCTACTCGAACTACAGCAACCTGAGCAGGGCTCAGCTCACCTTTGAGTACCTGCACACAAATTCGTAAGTACCGGCTTGCTTCATGTGCTTATGAACTTGGTACTACATATACTTGTGACAGCAAATATTACACACACACAACAAACTAGACAGATACTAACTAAAGTTCACCAGCTCATCCATTTGATTTGATTTTTTTTGTAACAATGTCCAACAACGTCATTGTTGTTGAAATACGCCCTACGTCTAAAAAAATCCCTTAAACCAACCTAAGAGGGTACGTGAATGGATGAACGGGTTAAATCTGTTTGAACCTGATCATCTGCTCAAAAATGAGGCGAATATGCTCTTAATTAATTATATGTCAGTTTGCACTGAATAAATACAACCATTTGTATTCATTCATGTATTTCAGGGTTGCCTGCTATATTTCTTCTTTATATGTTTTGTCTTACACATTGCCTACTGTAGCATGACACCTACCAAACCTAACTTATTCAGCACAGTAATCACGGTCACCTGTTTGTGGTCATTGCAACACGGTTGTACATAACGCTACTGTGCACACCGCTATGTGGTTGTGCATGCAGCTCTGTTTTCGAAAAAAAAAAAACTTTTTTAGCATCAGACAGCTTTTGGAAGCCGTGATGCTTCTTTCCCTTTCTCCAGCCACGGCCATACAAGCCAGAGGCCAAGGTTTTCCAGGAAAGTGCTTAGCTCGTGACATCTTCTTTGTCCCCAAGTGGACATTTGACATGGAAAACTACTTCCCTGCTTAAAAGCACCAAAGTTAGAATGCTACTTGGACGGTATGTTGACCGTTGTTGCTTTCAGAGCTCATGTTATCTGAGCCAGCTTTGTCAGGTATATATCTTCATTTCTAGAGCAGCCGTCATCAAAAGCCTCAAATATTAGTTCATGTCAGAAAGCATTCACTTTTGCGTTATCGCTTTCAATTCACCACTATATATATGTCTGTGATGTATTGGGACTTTTAAATGTGATGGGATCATGTATGTGGTTGTCTGTGGCAATTTTGAAATTTGTCTGACACTTAATTCATTGAGCAGCATAGACAGCTGTGGATCATCGTGGTTCATCACATTCCCTGTCAGGGATTTAAAAGGCAGTTACATTTCTGTCTGTACACTGCAGAAGTGAAGATGGAACCATGGCTTGTTTATCTTGTCAATGCTACAATATTTTCTTGTGATGTAGCCTGACTGAACAATCTGGTCCATGTTTGAATAGGTGGTGGTGTACCAGTCAACACATTTAACAGAGACGATATTACATCCCGGGCTTTGTCCACTGTTCTGTTAGCATTTACACATATCTCTCAATAGACTTGAGGAAATACAAGTTGTATAACTGAATAACAATCCCACGCAAAATATTAATGTGATGATCCGATCCTGGCAACAAGTATCTCCTCTAATCCCCTTTCTCTGACCAGCTTGCCCCGTTAACTCAAGTTAAACTCTTCTTTAACATTCAAGTATATTGACTAAATTACATGAGTGGTCTACTTTCAGGACAACCCACGAGTTCTTATTTGGAGCCTTGGCGGAGCTTGTGGACAATTCCAGGTACTCATAATGATTTGCAACAGGGCATATAACTGATGAAAGCTTTATCGTTAGCCGGATATCTTTCTCGTTGTCTCACACTTGGTTTATTTCTGTCACAGAGATGCCAGTGCCACACGAATAGACATCTACACAGGTACACCTCAGAATAACTCACCCAGTTTCACCCAATAAAGCATTCATTCGTTTCTCATAACACGTCTTCTTCACCTTCCTGCTTTGCTCACAGAAAAAAGGCCAGAGCTGCGGGGCGGCTACATGCTCTGTTTTCTGGATGATGGCATTGGAATGGACCCTAGTAAGTGCTCCTTTATTACATCACTTAAAGCTAGTTTTTAGTTATTTTTATTTCATGATTAAACTTTGTTGTAATGTGTGAAACATGACGATGACCACCTTTCTGTCACTAGATGAGTCAACGCACGTGATTCAGTTTGGAAAGTCAAACAAGCGGTCCCCTGAGTCCACTCAGATTGGCCAGTATGGAAACGGACTGAAATCGTAAGACCCTCACCTAACTTGTGTATGATGACATTTGGTATTTGGTGCACTAGTGTTTGAATCATTTTTCATCATCAAAAATGTATTTGTTTTTCACAGCGGCTCCATGCGTATCGGGAAAGACTTCATCTTGTTCACAAAAAAGGGCAACACGCTCACTTGCCTTTTCATGTCGAGGACTTTCCATGAAGAGGAGGGACTGGATGAGGTCAGAGTCAAAAGCTGGATAGAGCTCGTCATTGTTGTTAGGGATGTTTAAATCTAACTTGATTACTAATTGTGCCTAATTGATAGTGTGGAAGTGCAACAGGAAGAGTGTGTTTTTTTTTTAACTCCTTTTATTATGTTTGACTGCTCAAAGAACTCTAAACTTGTGTACTTAAGGATTTTGATCCTCTCTCCTCAGGTGATCGTGCCCCTTCCCTCCTGGGATCTGAGAACCAGGGAGCCACTGACCTCTGACCCAGAGAAGTACGCCATAGAGACAGAGCTGATCTTCAAATACTCTCCTTTTAAAAATGAACAGCAGCTGATGGAGCAGTTCAACAAAATAGAAAGTAGCAGTGGTAAGCATATGAATGTTTGTCTCTGTGTGAAGAGATTCATTTTGCAATGGCAATAAAAGTTCATATTCACTACTACGAACCTACGTCAGTGACATCCGCCGTCGCATCACAATGACGTAGCTTATTGAAAGTTGAGTCGGATTCTCTAAACAACATGTTTGTGTTGTGTTTTATTAAAAGGCACTCTTGTGGTCATCTATAATCTGAAGCTGATGGACACCAGAGAACCAGAGCTGGATGTAGACACGGATCACCAGGACATACTGATGGCTGGGACACCTGTTGAAGGAGTGTGAGTGACTCCATTAAACCATTTAACCATGGGATCACTAACCCTCGGTGGAAGGTTGTTGATTGTATTGATCGGTCATATTTTGATTGTTGATGACTGTGCCCTTCCCTCTCTCATAGGAAGCCAGAGAAGCGGTCGTTCAGGGCGTACGCTGCTGTTCTGTACATCGACCCACGCATGAGGATTTTCATCCAGGGACATAAAGTCAGGACCAAGAGACTGTCCTGCTGTTTATATAAACCACGGTAATGTGATTACTCACTTATACCCTGTCTGTAAATACTGTAGTCCAGTGACAATACTTTGATTAGCATACTTGTGTTCATAGGGTTTATAAATACACATCAACTCGCTTCAAAACCCGTGCTGAGCAAGAAGTGAAGAAGGCAGATCACCTTGCTAAGATTGGTGAGTCGGTGGGGAAATGGGTGTTTTCATTTACATTTTGCTTTTGTGTTGTGACTCCCTCGTGCTCATCAGCAACAATTTGCTTCTTTATTTCAGCGGAAGAGAAAGCCAGAGAGGCGGAGAGTAAGCAAATAGCTTTGGAGGCCAGATTAGGAGATGACCTGTCAAAAGATTCACGGGTACGACTTATTGTTTTCATTTTTCAAATGCAAATATAGTTTTGTCTCTGTAAACAAGCTTCTAATCTGAAACGGTCTACTTTAATTTAAGGTTGTTATAGTGTCTCGACTGACTCTCCCTCCGCCCTCTCTTCCTCTAGGCCATTCTGAGAAAGGTTCAAGATTCAGCCATGATGCTTCGGCGGGATTGTGACATGAAGAAAAGGATTCTCGAAGTCAAACAGAAGTATGATCGTCAACATTGTAAAACATTATTTCTCCTATTCGTGGATTTACAAACAGTTAAAGTACAGTTTTTGTTTCAACCCCATGGAAGTAATATAGAATAGTAACTTGAAAACACAACACAATCGCTTTGTTTTGCTGGGCTTTGTATATATCCCGTCAGTCTCCAACACTTTCTTGTTCTTCAGAGCATTAAAGGAGCCAAAGGAGTTGAATTTTATATTCGGAGTGAACATCGGACAGAGGGACCTGGACGGGATGTTTGTGTACAACTGTTCTCGTCTCATCA